AAGAAGAAGAAGAAGAAGAAGAAGAAGAAGAAGAAGAAGAAGAAGAAAGGAGACCAATCAAAAGGGGAAGTAATGAAGATCGTCAGAGGGATAAACCCTCCTAAGGCAAGAGCCCCACTCGGTGGGTTAATAGACATGAAGCGGCACAGAAGGAAGGTGGGGTTCAGCGGAGTGATGCCCCCCCTGGGTCCAGGGGTTTGGGGGCTTTCAACTCGGAAGCGTTAAAAGGCCGGATGCCCAGGGGGTGAGGGGCCTGCAGGCGTCTCCTCAGCCCCCCTTCCGACCCACGTGCAGACCCACCAACGGCACGGCCCCCGTCCCGGGGGGGGGGGGGGGGGGCGGGCTGCCCACCGAGGTCTCTCCCACCTTCCTGAAGATGCCAGGACTGCCCCCCGGGGCCCCTGCGAATGAGGCAGGGGTCTCCCAGAAGGTGGGGGCTTTCCCCCCCAGCCCCGTCCAGGGCCCCCCCCACCCGTGGGGGTCTTACCGGGGGGAGCAGCCTCCTCCTCCTCCGGGCTGCTTCGTGCCGCCACATCTGGAGACAGACGAGGGAGCCGGCCAGGTAGAGCAAGGGGGCCAGGAAGAGGAAGGTCAGGGCGGCCACTTGCCCCCCCTCCACCCGGCAGAGTGCCGTGAGGAGGGGCCCGTAGGCAAAGGCCGAGTAGCAGAGGCCCCCCCGGTTGAGGTCGTGCACGTAGGCGATGCCGGCCGCCAGGTAGAGCAGGAACATGGAGAGGTTGAGGGCGAACTCGGCCAGGGGCCACCAGTGGGAGCCGAGCAGGATGGCCCGGTAGTGCGTGGTCAGCCCCAGGGCCAGCAGGATGACCGTCAGCAGCCAGGCCAGGCTGGCCACCACCAGCACGAAGGGGGTCATCGGGACGTAGTAGCCAAAGCCGGCTCCGGTGAAGCCGCTGCTGTACAGTTGGGGCCACTGGTAGTCCTTCTGGACGGAGGTCGCGGTGCAGGCGAAGGCCATCCCGCCCAGGAGGAGCTCGAGGGCCCCCAGCAGCCTCAGGAGGCCGGGCCAGGACTTCAGGTGGCCGTACTTGTGCTTGCAAGACTCCAGCTTCTCCCTGTATCCCGGGGGGGCTGTGGAGGCCTCCCCGCGGCTGGAGACGGACACCCTCTTCCCAGACTCGGAAGACGGGGTGGCCTCCGAGGGGGGTTCCTGGCCCCCTTCCTTCCTCTCGCTACTGGTGGAGCCGCCCCCTTCCTCCTCCTCCCCGCCAGCCAGGCTGGTTCTCTCAGGGCCCTCCAGGCCTGGACGGACGGGTGGGGGGTTTGGGGCCCCGGAGGAGTGGGGTCCCAAGGGGGCGGCAGGAGGTTCTTCTCGGGGCCGCCTCCACCCCCTCCCGAAAGCCTTCCGCCAGGACCCGGCCAAGGAACTTCGGAGGGGCTGCGGAGGGGCCCCTTCTGGGAAGGCTGGCTGGGCCGACCACTGCGGGGGCCCACGTGGGGAGGGAGGGGGAGGGCAACTCGCCGCCGGAGAGCCGGACCCAGAGCTGCACCCAGGACTAGGGGTCCCTGGGGCCCCCGGACGGAGAGGGCTGGAGGGGAGCCAGGAGGCTGGGCCCAGGCCCACCGCAGGCCGCCTCTCTGCCCCAGCCGGAAGGGGTTTCTCCAGGGCCATATGGGTCCAAGTCTCTTGTGGGGAGGGGTCTTGGCTGAGTCTCGGCTTCCGGGCAGGAGCAGCTGATTGGGGAAAGATAAGGAAACCGAGAGGTTGGTCCCAGCAGGGAGGCCCTTTTCTTCAGCCCCACCCAAGGAACGGAAGCGGGGGGGGGGGGAGGAGCCCGTTTGGGGGGGTGGCGCCCATTAAGAAATGGCCGAAAACTTCCTCTCTCCACCTCGAATAGGTAGCCCGAAATGTGGCTCTTACTGGACGGACTTGGAGGTGAATGGTAGAATTATGGGGAGACTTAATTATTTGGCATTTAGGGCTGGGCCCCCAAGGCCCCCCAGCGGTTGGAAAGGGAAGAATCTACCCCCCCCCCAGGAGGGACCCCCCCACCTCTCGGGGCAAGCCAACTAAGGCAGGAGCAGAGCTGGCCCTGATGCCCTCGCCAGCCTGTCTCCCTGGGGAGGGGACCGAGGGCAGCCAGCACGGGACCTCTGAGGCCCCTCCCTTTCTGGGGTGACCCTGGGACACCCCCCCCTCCTTCCCAGACTCAGCCCTGTCCGAAGGCCCAGAGATGGACGGGCAGCTGGCAGTGCCAACCGTGCCGATTACTAAGATGGCAGGGAGCCCCCGGCATCTCCCGATGGACGTGAGGCCAAGGCCGACTCTGAAGGGTCTCAGGCCAAGGAAGACGGCTGCCCTGCGGTCGGGGGGGGGGGGGGAGAAAGGATATGGAAAGAGCTGCAGGTGGAGGGAGGGTTGAAAAACAGGTGGCCTTCAAGGGCCCCTCCTCTCCTGGCCCCCCAGCCTGCCCAGGGGGGGTCCAGTGGGCCTGTGCCTCCATCGGGGACCACCCCTCAGGGGAAGAACCCCACCACGGCCTTTGCCTGTCTGCCCGGTGGGAGTCTCCGAGGAGGAAGGCAGAGAGGAAGAGGAGGAAGGAGAGGGGGAGGGGGAGGAGGAGGAGGGAGGAAGACAAAGAGGGAAAAGGAGAGACCCCCCTCCCAGTCAGACCCCCTCTGGCTGCCCCTTCTCAGCCCACCTCCGGATGTTCACCTTTCATCCCCCCCC